TGAAAACTAAAAACTGTACGGGAATGACATCACTGAACGAGTCAGGTGGTCAGTCCAAACAAATAAAAGGCGCGATTGTAGAAAGAGATTCGTTACGAAACGTTTGTTGGCTAGAGGGCTTGGCCTGTTTAGCTATTGATAACGAAGGCTATAAAATATGTACAAATTAGAAACTAAATCCTATGTGTACTTATCTGTATTCATAACCCAATATCTGAGGTAGGTTGATGCGCTCCTTAGTTTTTATATAGTTCGTATTATTCTGTAATAAATTAAATCTAAACCAAAATATATACTATAATACCATAGCAAAGCTACTACTATTTTGTTTAGTAGTAGCTTATATAGTAGTATAGTAAATTATACAATATGTAACGTACTCAGACACCCCAATTAGTATATTATGTTATAATCATAATACATATACACTGAATTTTTAGTTAAACATTTTTATGCACCGATTATTTATCAAATTAGTTATACTAATTCCGAAAGAATGTTGTGGTCACAGTACAAATCCACGAACGCAAAGACTTTAACGTGCTTGAAATAAAGTTTATTTTTCTTTATTTTTATTGAATGACAGAATTAGTATTAATACGAATAAAACTGCACTCTTAAAAGTTTTATTGCCTTAAGTTACGGTCCATTTCAGATTGTTTTAACTGTACAGATTTAGTGTTACTGTAATTTACGTAGTATTAATTATTTTTGGTAAAAAAAATTTCCTATATTAAAAATGATAGGAATCGATCTGAACAAACTACTTTCTCAAAGTGCGTTAATTATGTTACATGTTGTATATAAAAAATATGAGTATGTCTGAGGTGAGGTGTAACCTTACACAAATATAAAAATAAACAAATATTTGCCAAGTGCGAATCCGACTTCCGAGCTTCCATACCATCTTAAAAGATTTAATATACATATTACTATCGATCAAAAAAAGCCAAAAATGCACGTTTCTTTTTATAGTAGGAAACCCTTTAATTTCAAATTTATTTTTACTATTTGCTGTTATAGCGGCAACAGAAATACACGTTCTGTGAAAATTACAACCATCTACCTGTTACGGATCATTAGATGCAGCCCGCTGACAGACAGACACACGGACAGCGGAGGCTTCGTAATAGGGCCCTGCTGGTTACTCTTCGGGTACGGAATCCTAAAAAGTACCTACTTAGTTGTCCACTCACATCTGTATGGTTCTTTCTTCAAAGGACCATTAGCCACCTGCCTGGTTCTCGTATGACATGACCAATGTAATACCTGGACTGACCTCTCTGAGTTTGTTTCGGCAGATCGGGTGCTTCTTCTCAGTTCCATGTTTTTGTTGTATTAAAGTGTTTTTTAAAAAAACAACTTACAAAACAATTTTTTTATCATTGACAGCCCTTTTTAGATTCTTATGTACTTACATAAATTACATTAGGTATATTAGGATATGAGATTCCTATACATAAGCACGATTATAGAAAATCTAAAAATTACCTAAATTTATAGAAAATTTTAAGATTTTCAATTTTAACTACATGTGCTTCTACAAACTTATGGGTACATTTTACCAGCTATATTCATCCCGGCTTCAGCAAGTGGACACGAACAAAAGGAAGCAATTTTTCTAAATAAAGATGTAAATATGTAGGTATTACAACCATAAATAGATATCAGCGGCTAACCTAGTGAGCATGTGTGGGTGCGCTCTGCCCCCCCCCCCTCCGTCCATCCCACTGATCGGGGAAATAATTTGTAGCGAAAAGCAAGATGATTTACAACAAAAAAGAGCGCGCGAAATTTTATAAACAGACTTTTGGGAGTCTGGATGCCATGAAAAATCTATTGAATGTTCAAAATAAAATTACTTGCATTTTGTGTAACAACTAATCTATCCCTGTATGGTAACTGTTTAGCAATTTTCGTTCTTCTTATGGGATTTATTTCCGCCCAAAGATGTGTTAAAACTAGTGTTGAAATTTGGAATTTTCGACGCTTATAACTTTTAAACATACTCTTTTTTTACTTTTTTGTTTAATACAGGGCTAGATAATGATGAGATAAATTGAAATCATTTTTTATTTAGTACGTACACCATCAAACAGTGGAGCAATCGCCAGACTACGTTTGTATGGAAGAACGAGTGACTAGTGTACCCTTAAATATCTATCTGTATGGGTCTTTTTTCTATACATAGTGTTGGCTCAAGGTATTATCAGGATTTCGAATTACTAACACATCTAGAAAATCTAAAGAATTGGTTGCCTCTAACTCCATTGTGAACTGGATTTTAGAATTTATGGAGTTGAGATGGTCTAAAAATGTACTTACTGTACCTAAAGGTAAAATTAGGAGTGTCGTCTACGCTCCGTTTGTAGAATCTTGGATTTACGTAAGAGGTAAGCAGGGCTTTCTCTTTAGTCTTCTATGAATATGTCGGCGATATTGGAATATACAGGTGAGGCCATCGCCACACCATCTACTTGCTTGTAAAAATCCCTGCGTCTACAATGGGTAACCAGATGTAAGGCAGTGTCTGAGTTTTCTACGGGCATGTTGTTTTCTTCCAGCCTTCTAGTTACAATTAAGATGCAGATGCAGTGAACAGTGTCTGCACATCAAAACTGACCATAGTTTCGTAATCTGTTATATGTAGGTCTTTAATCTCGCTGAATGAATTTTGTGTGTGTGTTTGTCCCCTGAGCGATGAGAGTATTTTTGCTAAGAGTTGAGCCAATCTGTAAGTTTAAATAATACTAGTTTTTACGGATTTTATTGCGTATATTTAACTTTTAGTACACGATGTTTCGAGAACTTTACAGCACCCATGGTCACGGAGGTGACTGAGATGTTCAACGTCCAGATGTCATAGTTAACCGCGGTTACCATAGATTAAAATTTAACTTTTATTCCGATCTACACAATATGAACTTATGGTATCTTGAAGTCTTGCAGTTGTATGCTTGGGGTTGGGATTTAATTTTATTTATTATAGGATCCCAAGCAGATGGTAGCACCCAGCCATCTTCTCTATTGAAATTAGGATGTTTTTTGATTTCAATAGCCTCGCGAATCATTGTTGGAAGGAATTGGTGTTCTTTAGTGAGGATTTGTGGTCTATTAAATCTGATGTAGTGACAGGGGCAATCCTGTATGTATTCACAGACTGCAGACTTTCACACATAACACATACAGAACATAAAATTAAATCATAACCCAAGCATACAACTGCGAGACGTATTTAAAAACGAAAAACGAAACATCGGGTATTTAAAAAGTTTATTCGCGATAAAATCCTTAAAAAGTAGTATTATTTATGTGTGGTGTATATATATATATATATATAATATATATATATATATATTTATATGTATTGTGTAGTATGTGTATATATATATATATATATATATATATATATATATGTGTGTAGTGTTCGCGTAATTATAAGAAATCAATCTGTAAGTTGGTGAATCCATTTGGCTCACTATGGGACGTAGTCACAGTAATTTTATTAAAATTACCGTGACGTAGATGAGCCTTGGGTTTGCGTATTTTTGTTAACCCATACAACTTTGGTAATTTGGCACATGTAGGTATTATCATCAATTTTACGTTCAGATCTAGTTTTTATGTGTAACGGCGGCGGTCAACGCGCTACAATGTCGCAAACGGACAAAAAATCTAATTAATCTAAAGAAGTTTAAATCTAAAAGTTTAAATTTTGTATTTACATAAATTTGTTTGATCGCGTTCTGGACTCAACACCTCGTTCGTCGTTAATTGACATAAAAAATTTAGATTGTCTCACAGTAGTACACTCAACGTTTTTTTGTGTCATACAACGTTTGTGTTGTGAGAAAAACGAAAAAAAAAACAGAATCATATTATTATATCTGTCCACAGAGTACATACTAATCACTAACGGGGGTATACCTACGCGTGCACCACCTGTAAACAGCAGGATATACTTCATTGGAATTATTTTGTTGTATAGCATATGTACTTTAACTTGAAAACATAGATACTTTTTCCCTTCTTCTTGCTTAATGAATGAAATTGTTAATTGCAATTTTAAGTGCTGATTTACCACCTGCTCGGCGGTGAAGGAAAACATCGTGAGGAAACCTGCATGTCTGAGGAATAAGAAAAAAAAATATTTTCGAAGACATGTGAAGTTTGCCAACACGCATTGGGGCAGCGCGGCGGATACTTCCTTGCCTTAAAACCCTCTCAGAAATGAGGGGAGACCTGTGCTCAGCAGTGGGACGTACTCGTATATAGGCTGTAACTTTACTTTTACTTTTAGTAGTTTCAGAGTTACAGCTTGAGCTATCCGTATTTGGCTGTCTCACAAAAAGCATTGTCACGTTGAGTCACGATTGTATCCTCAAAAAGATTACACTAAAGGCAGCCACGGGCCTAATTTTGTGTATGTTGTGATATGTACCTACTCAAAAATAAGAGGCCTGTGCCCAGCACAGCAAGTTAAACAATAAGAAAAAAGCTGATGTTTAGACAATTTTATTGACAGAACCTACTTTTCACATAATGTTTTATACTTATAATATTAAAATACTAACTACTGGCCCCGCTTTCCCTGTGTAGGAATTAATAACGTAGCGTCATTTAGATTTTTTACAATAATCATCAATGGACATTTATTTCATCAATTTTTCGATTCTAAAGAAAAATACTCACAAGTTTTTGGATAAAATATAGTCTAGATCAGTCTTGGCATAGGTCTCTATCTGTTTGCGGTTTTATTAAAATCATTTCGGCCATGCCGAACATTCCCCCCGTATTTGGAGCGTTAACAGTCGCGGTTTTTTTTAAATTCAGTTGTTATCAGTAAAATGCCGCAGCCCATCACCTGGTATAGTTTTTCTTTTTCGCCTCTTACGACATCTATGGTATGATAAGGGGTAGTGTATATTTTTACACCGCCTCTAACACCTTTTTTATATAAAATTTTGATTTGAGAGTATTTACCTATTTCTAATTTTTAGAACAAAACATGGTCTGTACGAAGTGGATATGAATGATCCAGCTAGAACAAGAACACCCCGAAAATCTGCATTTGTTTACAAGGAGATAATTAGAAGCCGAACTGTTGACTTCGATTACGATCCTGATTTGAACAATGAAGATTTTATATATAAAATTATATCTAACGAATGTTAACTCACTCTTGTTACGACTTTAAATTAAGAAAAATAAATAATGGGACTACAAACACGTTTTTATATTTAAAAAAAAAACCTATACATATAAGGTTTTAAAACTTCATTGAGTGCTTACGATGCTCATTGAGTCGTCGTCGTCCTTGAATTTTGGACCAAAATGCTATCAAGTAGAAACAAAACAAGGAATATTCGCATCACACGTCGCGGTTTAAAAAATACATATTACAGTCAGCGTCAAAAGAAAGGTAGCAGTTAAAGTGATCAAATATTTTGAAACATGCAAAGTGATCAATAACATTTAACCATCCAAAGTAGGCAAATTCTTGTGATCACCAATCTTGCTCAAATATATCGGAATATATACAACGTTAAATATATGGTTTCAGTCAAACTTTTGAGTATTCAACCGACTGGAGAGGCCATGCGCCTTAATTCCTAAACAAAAAGTCTGTCACTTTCAGGATGAGGCGAAGAAAACACACTACTGTATATTTAACTACAAATGCATAATTGAATCGCGTCGACACACTGGTGCCGATGTAGGGCGAGGACTATGTCGATATTTTTATCGATAAACAAATCATCGTAGTCCGCATAAGTTCTGCGTTGGTAAAAGTGATTTTAGTGTTTTTTCATTCATTACAGCCCTTCACAAGTCCACTGCTGAACATAGGCCTCCCCAAGTAATACCACGAAGCACGGTCCTGGGCCACCTGCATCCATCAACTTCCTGCATGTCTTAACAGATCATCACTCCATCTATTGGGGGGGGGGTACACTTCGCCCACCGGTACGAAGCCGCCACTGGAGAACTATTTTCCCATCGGTTTGTCGGTTTTTAAAGCTACATAGCCGGCCCATTGCCATTTCAACGTAATGATCCCTTGGGCTATATCGGTCACTCTGATTCCTTATTTCTAAGTTTATCATGCAGAAAACCCCGAGCAGTCTTCTCCGTAGCTCCCAGAGCGACTCTGAGCTTCCCCATACGGCCAACGGTGAAGAGTTTTTTTAGTATAATATGAAATTATGATTTGCTTAGTTAATAGAATTACGTTCAGTTTTTGAAAGGCTGATCAAACTCAGATTTTAATTCAAATTTAATCAAAAAGTTGACTATTGGTACTTTCCACGTTGTTGTTTTTTTATAGAAGAGGGGGGATTAAAGTAGAGTATTCAAAAAATTTTAATAATAAGGTTTTGACAGAACTTATGACCTGACTAAGTACATAAATTTCACAACAAACAAATCGTTCCGTGCAGGATTCGAACCCGCGGCCCTCAACGCTCAACGCAAAAGTCCTTCACGATTCAGGAGACAATCTATTGTGGGATAATGATTTTAAAACCAAAAAAAAAACATGTAAAAAATATCTGTACTTTTGTAAATATAATATATTATATTATATTTGTACACAGATTACGAATTACCTATATAAGATTTTGATTTCGAAATCGTAAATAATATGCAATGTTGTATGTCAAATATATAATAATTATGTCAAAAATAATAATAATTATACATTTCTCTACATGAGCCATTCGTAGACACAGTAGCCTCCCTCCACTGGCTACGCTTTGGTGATCTCTTCGGGGAAACCGAGGGTTTTGTCTGTGCAATACAGGATCAGGTTATTAAGACCAACAACTATCGGAGATACATCCTAAAGGATGACACCGTCGACATCTGTCGAGCTTGTCGCCATCCCGGGGGAGTCACTTAGGCATTTCATCTCCGGTTGTTCGGCGCTTTCTAACTCTGAGTACTTGCACAGGCACAACCTAGTAGCCAGAATTCTACACCAGGAGCTCGCTCTGAAATACGGTCTCGTGGACCGGAAATTGCCATATTACAAGTACTTGCCGGAAGCCATGCTCGAAAATGATCGCGCCAGGCTCTATTGGGACCGGGCCATCATCACAGACAGGACTATTCTTGCGAATAAGCCTGATATTGTGCTGATGGACCGGGCACAGTCAAGGATATTTTTGGTCGACATTACCATTCCGTATGACGAGAACCTCGTGAAAGCCGAAACAGATAAACGAACAAAATATCTGGACCTGGCTCACGAGGTGACCGACATGTGGGGTGGTCTGCCGACAGAAATTATTCCTGTAGTCGTCTCTGCGAATGGGCTAATCCCAGTCAGCCTCTCGGGTCATCTGAGGAGGCTGGGACTCCGTGACCGACCGCTCCAGTCTCAAATGCAGAAGGCGGTGCTCCTCGATACCGCCCGCATCGTCCGCCGGTTTCTTTCCCTTTCCCCCTAACCCTCGGCTATTTGGTCTCCCCTGCCGAGGGCCTCCATCTGGTTGGGCTTTTATTTATTTATGTATTATTTATTTATTTGAGCTGGTATAAGAAATATATATTTATATCTATTTATCATTTCCTTTTATATATTTGTTCAGCCGCTGCAGATGAGAAAACTATATATATTTATATACCCTATGATAATAATAATGTCCTCTAGACCGAATTTCGGCCACGGCGGTCTGTCTCAACGGAGTCTAGCCATCGGCGCAGGACAGGATTATAGTGCCCAAGTGTATGCGCAAGCACAGGTGCACTCTCTATTCCCTCACTTTCATAATCCAATGGGACGGTAAACCGACACGACCGGTGAGAGATCAGGCCCAGGACCAACGGCTCTACGTGCTTTCCGAGGTACGGGGTTGAGACACCGCCAACTTCCTGACTCCGGGCAACTACTAAGAATTTCTTGACGGAAAAACTCAATAATTAATTTTTTGGCCCGACCTAGGATTCAAACCCAGGATCTCGTGATCGGCAGTCGCACTATTACAAACACTAGACCAACGAGGCAGTCAAATATATATACAACACGTAACATAATTAACGCAATTTGAGAAAGTAGTTTGTTCAGAATCGTTTACTGAATCGATTCCTATCATTTTTAATATAGGTAATTTTTTATCCTAAAATATAGTATGTACAGTCAAACTGAAATGGACCATAACTTAAGGCAATAAGACTTTTTAGAGTGCGGTTTTATTTGTATTATTACTAATTCTGCCATTCAATAAAAATAAAGAAAAATGAACTTTATTTCAAGCATAAAGTCATTGCGTTCGTGGATTTGTACTGTGACCACAACATTCTTCTGAATTAGTATAACTAATTTGATAAATAATCAGTGCATAAAAATGTTTGACTATAAATTCAGTGTATGTATTATGATTATAACATAATATACTAATTGGGATGTCAGAGGGTGTACGTTAATGACGTTACATATTGTAATATATATATATATATATATATATATATATATATATATATATATATATTTTATTCTCATACAAAAATAAAAATATTTTAATTGGAGCTTCTAAACGGTAATAGTCCTAGTTAGCAATAAAAAGCGCGTGGCGAGGGAGGGGTGGAGCGGTGTAGGAGAAGACGATACTCAATTAAACTTGACCTAATTAGTAACCTGTGTCGTCAGTCGCCTTTGATGCGCCCGCGACGCTTGTCTTTTCGTTGTGAGATTATTGTGAACGTTACCTTGTTACGATGGCTTACCGATACTCAAATGTTGAGTATACCGAAATGGTGCGAATTTTAGCAATTTGCAATGATAATGTTAGTGAAGCCTGCCGTGAATATTCAATGCGATTTCCCAACCCACGTGTACCGAGCTACGCTACGATGCTAGGCGCTACACAGCGATTGCGAGATTACGGCCAATTCCAGCCTGTATCTGTCGATCGTGGTCGTCCACCGCGGCGCACAGTACGTGAGCAGGAAGACATACTGCAGTTTTTTGAAGAAAATCCAGCAGCGAGCACTTATGAAGCAGCCCGACAGTTCAATGTGTCACAATATTACGCATGGAGTGTCATACACAATGAAGGGAAGTACCCCTTTCACCTGCACCGTGTTCATGAACTCAGCGAAGCTGACAAACCTACGCGAGTTACATTTTGTAATTGGTTACTAGCTGCTGAACGAGCTAACATTTTATGGACTGATGAAGCAACATTTGGCAGAATAGGGCTATTTAATACGCACAATGAACACTTGTGGTGCTATGAAAATCCACATGAACCAAGACCACATAGCTTTCAACACCGGTTTAGTGTCAATGTGTGGGCAGGCCTTACTAATACAACGTTACTGGGCCCTGTTTTCATAGAAAGATTAAATGGTGAAAGCTATCACAATTTTCTCACCGACACGCTGTCAGAACTGTTAGAGGATATACCATTTGCATATCTACGCAATATTTATTATCAACTTGACGGGGCACCGGCGCATTATGCTCGTCAAGTTAAGGATTATTTAAACAGAGAATACCCCGGATGCTGGATCGGACGTGGCGGGCCTTGTGCATGGCCTCCCAGATCGCCAGATATCACACCAATTGATTTTCATTTGTGGGGGCATGTAAAGACATTAGTGTAGTATACTGATCGCACACTCGAAACCCGCGACATGTTGAAAGAAAAAATAATTTGGGCATTCGATCAAATCAAAATGAATACTCAACTTTTATCTCGTGTCGGTGAACAGTTAACTTTTAGGTGTCACCTATGCATAGAATGTGGAGGTGATTATTTTGAACGCTATGTGCGCAATACTCATCGCCATCCGCGGACGAGTACCTCTAATTCTAATGTATAAATTTGTATTTTAATATTTTTATTGAACCCTTTTTACCTAAATATTTTTATTCAATTACTGTTGTAAAATGTGTGTTAATATCTGTATTTAATCATTATAAATATTTTATTGTAATATTTGTAATTATTTTAACCCGCATCCATTTTTTAAATACAACTTGCATTTAATAAATAAAAAATAGCTCATAATACTCCGCATTTAATTTGTACGTGCTGCGAAGTGCGAACCGAAAAGGGCAGGCGGCGCCTTTGATGACGCCTGTATCGACGTCAATAATCAATATACCTTTGGCTTGGCCTTGATCTGCCGTACGTGCGACGTTGTTTGAGGCGTTGCTAACCGCCGGA